CATTTCTTGAGATGAGTGGTCTTCTCTGCGATTTTTCGCAGTTGTTCTCGTTCTTACTGCCGCTGTTGTCAAGAAAAAGTAGCACCTCAATTTGTAGAAGTTCGCTTCGATACTTAGCCAGTGTATCGCTGAAATACTGTAAATGGTTGTATTATTAAATCATGCTACTTTGCAGTGATTGAAAACGCGTGTGTGGCACGTGAGTCCGAACTGTGGAGTTTCATCGATGTGACGGCGGAAATGGGACTTGATGGCACTCCGGATTCCGACGGCGGTGGATCGAGCAGTGATAGTAGTGGAAGTGGACGACGTCCGAGACGTATTCACACTTTCCATGGAACCACTGGTCCATCGAGTGGTCACGGTGCGTCGTCATCCCCAAGAGGAAGTGGGTGCCTGGCAGGCCGTTTCTCCATGTGAACCAGTGATGACAAGAAATGCTTTGTCATAATGTTGAGCACTTCTTGACATTCGATTCACGTGGTGAAGCTATACGCAGATTGTGCATGGGTTATCCCTCTTTTCCGGTCTCAGGAGATCATGGGGGCGTTAGGGATCTTGATTTTTGAGATTTATTCATTTTTAGAGTCAACGATTCGGCGACACACAACCGTACCGCGAATGAGTATTGGACAAGAGACCGGCGACAAGAGCGACGATGAAGACGAGCGGTGGGAATTGAGCGAGGAACGTCGAGAGCAGCTTGAAGTCGAAGAAAAAACCCACCGACTACCCGTGAGTAGCGAATAGTGATGAATTTCAATCTTAACCAATCTTTGAATGTTCGCTGGTATGGCTAAAACACGTGACAGAATGACTAGCCCGGCTGTTCCAGCAGAGTTCCAAGAATGCTTGAGCCATTCTAGAGTCATTCATTTATCAGTCAGTCATTTTGGAGTTATAGTGCGGAAGTACACACGCAGCTTATGCACCCTCACTCCTTGCGGTAGAGGCCAACGAGGGCTGAGAGCTTCTATCTTGGTACGGTCGAGGAAGCTCAAGCAACTTGGCTAACGTGAATCTCCCCTCCTGGTTTGGTCTGGGGAAGGGGAAGGAGCAAGATATTAGAGCCTCAAACGTCTCATC